GTAGCAGCCCCATTACCGCGGACCCATCCCAGCTAAGAGTGTGGTTATAGCACGTGCTTATTTTGAATGATGACGGCCCGACGACCCGACCCGAAAATAATGATAATTTTTCAAATAAAGAATAGCAACTATTCACTTCACTTTACAATATTCAAAGACGAAGCGTTTTTTCTGCAACTGTTCATTTTCTTCGCATTCACAAGCATCTTCCGTCATTCTGAAGCAAGTTTTTGGTAGATTAACTTCAGAGAAACAATGCTCAGGTTAGAATTTTTTTCTGAAACAAATATTTTTCTCATATACTATTCATGGTAAAAAAATTAGAAATAAAATGTTTAGGGTTAGGGTTTACTTACAAACTGTAATGGCTGCTGTAAAACTTTGAATGTCTCGTGTGAAAACATTTCTAATCAATCAGAGCTTCGTAGTCGGTACAACTCGGTACTACTCGATACAGATTGGTATTTCTTGTTACCGATTGGTATTGATTTTTATTTATCGGTATAGCTCGGTTTGAACATGAAGAGATTTTTAAAATAGTCTATATTGTTGGAAAAATATACATAAATTGTTTTGCATTTAAAAAAAATATGTTTTCTACAGTAGTCATTATTCGGTTTACATGCTTGGTATTGCTCAGTATTGAAAGTTATTACTCGGTATAAGCTTAGATAAATCTTCCAAATAATGTTTATCTTTGTTATATAATGAATTATATATTTTGTACTGAGTGAAATATTTTGAAAATGTTGGATATAAATCGGATAGAAAACTCTGTAATATTGCTCGGTACTGTTCGGTATTGAAAATTATTACTCGGTATAAGCTTAGATATATCTTTCAAATATTGTTTATTGTTGTTATATAATATATTATATATTTAGTATTGAGTGAAATTTTTTGAAAAGGTTGGATATGAATCGAATTGAAAGCTCTGTAATATTGCTCGGTACTGCTCGGTATTAAAAATTATTCTTGGTATAAACTTAGATATATCTTCCAAATAATGTTTACCGTTGTTATATAATATATTATATATTTAGTAACTGAGTGAATTTTTTTGAGAAGGTTCAATATGAATCGGATTCAAAGCTCTATAATATAGCTCAGTACTGCTCGGTACTCAAAGTTTATAATCGGTATAAGCTTAGATATTTCTTCTAATTAATGTTTATCCTTGTTATATATTATAATATATATTTACTTCTGAGTGATTTTTTTTGAAAAGGTTGAATATGAGTCGGATTGAAAGCTCTATAATATTGCTCGGTACTGCTCAGTACTCAAAGTTAATACTCGGTATATGCTTATATATATCCTCCAAATAATGTTTATCGTTATTATATAATATATTATGTAATTGATATTGTATGAAATTTTTTTCAAGTTTCGGTATTAATCGGTATGAATGCTCTGTATTATTACTCGGTACTGCTCGGTACCTAATGTTGTTAATACTCGTTAGAAACTTTAAATATTTGTTATTTTTTATTTTTTCCAAAGATTCATTTTAGATGCTGAACTTCGACTTTTAGAGAAATTTGTAATCAATTAGTTAGTAAATTCGGAGATCAGTTTGTTACAATTAAATCAGCTCCTGATTCTGCCTCCAAATCCCTCAAAATATTCCACTTGTGTATATCCTGTTATCGAAGTGGAATTAAAGGACAGTGTTTTTTTATTAATGGACAAAAGTTACATTTTACATCTGATGAGGTTTCCCTGATCATAGGCTTGCCCAATAGATGTATTAAATTTGAGGTATGCAGTGCTAGAATAAGTGGAAAAACAATAAATGACATCCGGCATGACATTAAGAAAATGGATGTGTCAACTCCAATAGAAGAATTAGTGAAAGAATTAATAATTTACTTATTATCCAACCTGTTCTTTCCCATGGCCAACTTCCGTATACCTACTGCAATCCTGGACGTTGCAGAGAATGTTGATAACTTTTGGTACATACAACTGGCCAGAATCCATTAGGGAATTCCTGGTGAATGAATTCAATGCAATTGCAAATAAACAATCCAAAAGTTATTCACTGGGATACGTTAATGGATTTGTCATGATTGTAATTGTGAGTACATATTTGTATTTTTTATTCAGTTTAACTAATGGTAAAGGTTAATTTTAACATGATTAAACAGATTTATATGGTCTTATATTTTGCATATATGTTTCTTGAGCATACAATGATCCACGCCGTAGAGGATGACCTATCTTGACCCCGTTTTACTAGGTGGGACGGAAATTTAATGTATAGTGAGAAAGATGTTAACAATATGTTTGCAGAACTTGAGGATGCTGAGGTAGCACAACTAGGTGATTTTATTTAAATGTATGATTAAATTATATATTTCATATGACTATATAAAAATTTTGTTCAGATTTTCAGACATTTACAAGGAATTACAAACGATGAAAAGACTTTATTTGATAGTTCTTCGAATTATCCAACAGAAGAACATCTCCAAATTGCACTAACCCCACAGACAACCCCAAACATCTCTTCTAGGCCCCCCACTCCATCTCCACCTAGTCCAGCCAGTCCAATAAGGATGCAAAGCCCAACTGAAATTTCAAGCCAACCACCAAGCAGTAGGACCCGCTCACAGAAAGAATCAACCAGTGGTCATGATCCAAGTCCTCCTGTTACAGAAGAATCAAACTTGAAGATCCTCAATCAAGCCATATACAAACTTTTTACCCAGAACAATTTACTGGTCAAGAAGCTATCCTCGGTCGAAGTGTCGAATAGTTTACTAGAAAGACGTGTTGCGGCCTTGGAACAAGCAGTGTTTGGCCTTAAAGATGATAGTAAATTGAAATATGTTGTTATAGAGAAGTTCTTGGATGATCACTTTCCTGTTTCTTTTAAATCTTATCGGAGTAAAAGTTCGGGAAAATCTACTTCAAGAACTATATCTGACAAAACAAGTCACCCCATCTGTTGCCCCAATACCTATGGATATTACAAAGGAAAGAGTATTGGAATGGCAGGACCAGGTTATTACACCATCAGCCCCATCTGCTGCATCACATGAAGTGGAATGTTCACAGGCAAACAAATTGGATGCCCAGGAAGCTGATGGATTAGAAGAGAATGTTGTTAGGCTAACTGAGGATGAGGGATTTGCTTCATCCTGTCAAACAGGCATTGCTAGACAAGTTCGACAAAGGAATGATAGGAAAAGGAAATTGGTAGCAACTCCTTTTACTACTGGGGACAGAAAAATTGTCACCCAAGGAGAAGAAGATTGAGCCTATTCCAACTCATGCTCCTGCTCCTAGGATTTGGATGTGGGCCGCCGATTTGGTGTTGGGAGAGGGGTGGTTGGTTGGGTGTAGAGGTGGTGGGGACGGCCGAAAGGGGAGGAGGGGGATTAGGGTGGCCGACGGGTAGAATGAAGAGTGTGGACTGAAGTGGCTGGCGGTTAAGGGGTTGGAAATCCCTGGGCCGATGGATAGGAAGGGATGAGAAGGAGAAAAGAAAAGATAGGGAAGAAAAGAGTCATGAACCCGGATGCTTCCAAGGTTGGTGGGTGATCTGTTTCTCTCTCCTAGAGATTTCTCTCCAAAACTCTCAAGCTCTCACACAAACACAAGATTGCGGGAATTTTTATTATCATTCATTAATTTGAAAAGAAACATAAGAGGCTTATAAATAGCCTCATACAATGAAAGGGAATTAAAAGACAACATTACCCCTATGATTTACATATGAGAAGACCCTTAAGTAAGGGTAAAACGGGAAATGATAATAAAACAAATGCATAATGCAAACAAATAAAATAAATACATATGATGAATCAAAAATAGATCGGCACGATCTTGGACGTAGATCGTCAGCCACGTCTCTGATATACTTTCCAGATCTGATGTCCCCATCATTCTCCCGGGGTGGGAAGAAGCTCGACTACGTCGAGTAAGCATCCCAGGTGCTCTCATAAATCTCCAATGCGTCAGGGTTAATCTGTTGTAGCTCATTGCAATCCAACCAAGTATCTTCTGGCTCGGGCTTACCTCTCCACCTGATCAAATACCTTCTTCATCCACCTTCTCTTGTGGAAATGATATCATCACTCAGAATCGTGTCAACCTTCTATGCTATAGGTATGTTTGGAATGTTTGGAAGTGGAGGTAGGTTTGAGTTCTCACTAGGTGGGGTCACACAAGACTGCTTTTGAAGTGGATTTGGTGGGTTAAAATCGGGGCCTTCATATGCTACTAGATCTTCTATGTTAAAAGGGAGATTGATATTGAATTCTGCAGGCCTATCCACTACATAAGCATTATCATTGATTTTTTTAATTATTTTGAATGGTCCCGCACTCTTAGCGTGTAACTTCTTAACCGTTCCTTGCGGGAACCGTTCCGGACGAATCCGCACCATCACTGAGTCACCAACCTCAAAAGTTCTAAATTTTCATTTAAGGTCAGCATAAAGTTTATAATCATTATTGCTCTCTCCCCTAGGATTTCCTCATTATAATATTGAGAAAAATGCATGATACAAGTAAGATTTGTGTGATTTTAGCAATCCGATCCTACCAATGAATCTACAAATATATTCCTAAAATATAGATATTCACAGTACACTTAGGCTTTGTTTGGGACAGCTTTTTTTATTGCTTCTTAAAGCAGCTTTCGAGTACAAAACTTTAAACTTTTGTATTAAAATGCTGCTTCAAGAAACAATAAAAAAGCCGTCCCAAACGAAGCCTTAATTGCACAGATTTTAGACAGCTAATGTCTGGCCAATATTGGTATTATGCTGCACCACCGCACCGTTAATGTTCTTCTGTTGCCTTTGTAACCTACCATTGTCTTGGGAGGTTGCATGCTGCCAACTCAGCCATGATGTTTTCTGTGAGAAACTAATGTAGCTCAACTGCTAAATGATAATGAGATATAACTACAGTTCCATCAGCCCCTAAGTTATATCTTACATGTGGATTTTCTTGAATAACTCTGACTCCATAAGTTCTTATTTTCAGTCATCTACAGAGACATCAATTTCAGGCCACTGGCTGCCTATTCCACATCCATCTCCCCACTCTATTCGACTCTCAACTGCACCTGAACAATTTCAAAGCCTTCCTTTGAATGTCTGTTTCAAATGTAAGTTCGGATGTGCCTCAATCCGCAGCCGCTGATATGCCAGATGAGCTTGGTTTGTTGGAGTCCACAGCTTCCAGCTCTACTAATGCAAGGACTATCCAGCCTTCAAGAAAACCTGCAACAGCATAAAGAACCTAAATGGCATACAAAGCTCTGCAAACTCTATTGTTATCCATGGTGAGGATAGTAGAATTGGTATGGTCAATACCACCGGTTTTCCGAATGTGATTACTCAACACCTTGGTCCAATTAGAAAGGCTGATCAACTGAAAGGCGCTGCCTCGAAGATGAGCTCCGGCAGTAGTGAATGGCGCCGGATAAATACATCCCTGGAAAAAATCAGTGTTGGCTCTGACAATATCTCTTCCACCAAGATGAAACAAATATACGTCGCCAAATCTGTTTCAACTGCTGATGCAACCTCAAGCTAATAGCGGCTCATCTTTTAGTCAGAAATTTTTGGTAATAGAACCAGGTTTTAATCTTTATTGTTCTCTCAGAATGAAATCAATATTCAGTTTTCTACATCCTTTTTTTTTTGGCCTGGATTAAGCAATTTTTTATTCATTGTGAGAGTACAGCGTTTAGTCAACAACATAGCTTTGTTAACAAAATAAACATATTATTTTGTTTGTAAGCTGCTGTGCTTGGGTGGGATACTAATTATTCTTATGCTATGGGCTCCAAAGGGCCGGCTTTGTAGCTGAATGAATGATATTGGAATGACAATTCTTATGGTGAACATTGTATTACATAGATTGCATTTTTTTTTCCATTGGATGCTGCAATCATTTCTTAATTAAATATTCCATTTTTCTTGGTATGGCACAAAAGCTTAAGATTTTTTTGTAGAAGCAAGAATTTCTAGTAGATTACAGTTGCAGGACCTTATAATTGCCACAATCTGATGCCAGGCTTTTTTTTTCACATATTTGATTACATGCTAAAAACATCACATAGGAACTTGAGGGTAGAATGAGTTCAAGCACAAGCTTTCCAGATGCTTCTTTCCAGCAGCACACCGGCTAGTAAACATGTGTGCGTACATATTATAAAAAAAATGCATTTTTACCCTTTATGGCTCTAAAAAAGCCTATATTTTGATAGTCACAAGCCTCTTCCCAAGCAAAATGGAGCTCCATAAATCATTACCCATGATTAATTATTCTATGTGGATGCAAATGACGTCCAAAAAATCAATCAGAATGTGTTATGTCACTCCGTTGTGTACCGCAGCTTGATATCGCTCGGTACCGCAGCTCGGTATCACTAATGCTACATTTGATTCGTCTATGAACATAGAGCTGCGTCCAGCCTCCGCACAGTATAATTTCTCCTTAACAAGATGAGCATATGTATAGGATGTTCCTTATATGAGCTATAAGAACTACATTTTGCTTGGGCAAAGGGTTGTGACCGACAAACATGCATTTATTAACAAACTTAAGTGCACTTGAAAGATTTTAAAATTAGTAGATATACAAATATGACCATGCAACTTGTCAGAACCATGAAAGGCTCATACATCAATGGCTGATCTTTACATAATCAAATCAGAATATTAACAGATTATTCAATGAAACATTAGCTTGAGAACCCATCACATCCCTTTTGCAAGCTTGAACCGAATTATTCTTTTAACAAAACTTTTTTCTGCTCAAGAACATATCATCACATCAATTTTCAATTCTCAACCACAATTAGTTCAATATGTAATCAACAAAATATATACATCAGTTGTAGCTTACCAAACTACGGCAATTAGTTAATGCTGCAAGTTTAATATGAATCAATGATACAAACTATAAACACATAAGCTTCAATACAATGCCACTTCAATTTTAGTAAAAAAAAAAAAACTCATTGGTGTTTTTAATGCTGACATACTAAGATATTGCTACTCATTTATAATGCTAATGTGTTCAATACATTGCAGAGAGGCTTTGCATCGACTTGATATACAACACAATTGACAAATTTATTCCAAGTTCATGTCAGTAGTAGATTTAAATCTTTCCTGCTCTCTCTGCTGAAAGAAACTACATCAATCACCTGGAATACTTTTCCCTCCACAGTGCAAAAACTGCTCCAAAGCTCAACCATTATTAAAGCCTAGACCTTCAGGCTCCTCATGATTGTAATAAGAAGGTTCATCAATGTTCTGCTCCCTAATGGTGCTGCTGCATTCTGCTTCATTCTCTTTCAAGAAATTACCACTTCTAAGGCTAGATGAAGCAACCGAGTTACTAGGGACTATCTGAAAATGAATAGCATTTCTTGGTAAAGTTTTTAATTTTTCATTGAATAAGAACTCAATCTTGATAAAAATGAAAAATGCACACAATACTTGGTCAATTATCTTTGAACGAGCAGATCTCCTCGATCGCTTCTTACTGCTTGATTTACTTGGCCCTTCAGCCAGTTTATTATACTCTGTGTCAACAAAGTTTTGATCGGTAACCTCTGCAAAAACTTGAAGCGCTTTAATTTATCAACGAAGTTAACTCAAATAAGACCCAAAAAAATTATCTAGTTCAAACAATGGAAGATGCAAATTAACCATACTCATATAGGATATATTACTTTTTTTTTGTTGTACCAAATATAATGAGGTCCAGGAACTGTAACCTTCATGTTGTGGTTAGGGTGAACCTGACCGCAGAGTTAATGGATGCCTCTACAACATCTAAGTGAGGGTGATCATCTTCCTCCTCTACTTCCTGCTTTGCAGCATCTTATTCCTCATCGCAAACTGTCAAGACCTATAATGAATGGTCCATTGGTTCTTACAATGGTGGCCGATAACAAACTTCTCATCACACCTAAAGCATAAACCCTTGGCCCTCTTCTCCTAAATTTTGACTCAATCAACATCTTTAAGTACCCCCCCTGGTCGTACTCTCTAACCTCTATCCCTCAAGGCTTCCTTCTAAATAAGCACCATTTGCACCTTTGATGCCATAAATATAGTGGTTGTGCAGCAGGAGACTCCCGAACTATTGCTACAGTTAATCTCCAAGGAGTTCTTATCCTCCACCAACTCAGCTAACTTCATAACCTCTCTTAAACCACGTGGTCTCAGTACTTGAACATCTGCTCGAATATCAAGCTTGAGCCCCTTCAAAGTTCCCCTCTAGCACAATCTCTGAAAACCTTCCCAACCGGCTCGAGAAGTACTTGAACTCCCGGTACTCTATCATTGTCCCCTCCTATAACAAAGCAAAGAACTATTCATAGAAGTCTCCTTCCTGACTAATTTGAAAACTTACTAGTAGAAAGTCTTTGAATTCCCTCTATGATCGGACTGGATCTCCCAAGTCTCTCCACTGGTACCAGGACAGAGTCTTCTCTTCCAGACAGAGCGGTTGTAGTGAAATTTTCATCTTATGTCAATCCATTTATAGCAAAATATTGCTCCACCCTATAAATCCACCCGTTAACATCTTCTCCATCAAAAATTGGCATTTTTAACTTTCTCACCCTAGAATCGTCAGTGCCCCAATAGCTTCTTCCTCCTCCAGTTGTGATCCTTCCATGTTTCCCTCTCCCCAAAAAAGCTCTTCAAGTTTCATTAGCAATTTCTTTGCCGACCATATCCTTCACCCACTCCCGTCCTTGGAAATGGCTCCAAAGGCCATCTTCTCTTTTTCCCCCAAAATTTCCACCTCCTGATCCTCCCTCATTGTTCGTATATTAGGGTTTCCCCCACTTCCTTGTCTGGTCAATGGTGCCCTTGCCTCCAATGATGTCGGTTGGGTATGAAGAAGCTCTAATATTTTCTCCATCATGTCCTCTAGGTTAGAAAACCTTCCTTCCATGGATGACATCTATTCCTCAATTTCATATTTGATTTAGCCAACTTCTCCTTCTAATTTCTCTTCCAAAGCATCCACTTTCTTCGACAATATAGGTCCCAAATCGTGCTCTAATACCAACTTGACAGGAATCCGATCTCCGCACAGCAAAAACAACAATAAAGAAGAGAAATTCAGCAGAAATCAGCGAGAAAGAAAGAGATTATGGGTTAATTTTTTTTATTTAGGCACACAAACTAAGATACAAGTTTATCTACTATTCGAGAGGTAGATCGGTTCTCCACAAACCCTAGGCGCCGTGCTGCTAGGAACAACTCCAAAGAAAAATTACAGCAAACACACAAATCACATAATGAAAATAAAACAACATAATTGGCCTAAATAAGCTCTCATAATTCTCTCCCAAATTTGAATTCAAATCAACCATTTTTCACTAATAAACCATCCTAATTCCCTCTCAATCAAATCAACCCTCTTTCCTTAAATACCCCCCCCCCCTCTCTCTCTCCTTGCCCACCATCCCCATTAGTCGGGCCCATAGGGCTCAGCCCATCAAATTTGTAATGGAATTTATCAAATTTTCACTAATATTCAGTAATAAAGCTTTATAAATATTGCATAGCGAGCAACTAACATAATTAGATGATTCTTTGCAGTAATTGTATATAGCACTTAAATCATGAGTACCTGATGAGGACATCGTCAGCATTTTCGACGCCGGAGATCGACGACCACGAGCATGACTTGTACTTTGTCATTTTATGTAGTAGCGTATTTTATTTTGATGTTTTTCCGCTTTTGCCCTTATGGGCATTTAGTCGCTTATGTAGCCCGGAAGCTCTCTATAATTTCCTAAAGTAACTCCATCGCATGTATGTTTCACATCAGTACCGTTACATGAAGACTTGAGTGCAGGTTCTTAACTTCAAATCATTTTCCCAAACTAATCGGCCACCGCTTCTCTCACCCATTATCATAAATTTTATCATAAGAGAGAAATGTTATAAATTTTAAGTCATGCCAAAAACTAAAAATAATTCTAGAGCAAACATCACATGACAAAAACCAAACATCATAAGGTCTACATCTTGCTAGATAATTAAGGCTTATGGATTCAAGTAATGTAACCAGCTCCATTGAGAATGATTGCTGGTTATTGTGGAAATGCTATGACAATCAACCAAGAAAGAGTGAACATGAACACAATGTGGTGGTTTGTTATTCTAAGGGATCATCATCTCTCTTCGAGATGGGGAAGAGAATTTATGGGTGTGACTTGGTGTATTGGGGACCATAACCTAAATGGTCTTTATGGGTTCCTATAATCTCCTAAAAAGATATCTACAAAATTATTTCATATCAATTTGAGTAATTTATGAGCTTAATTCACTAGATTCCAGCTATTTAATATTGGCTAAAATTATATATTAGCTATTTAATATGGACTAAAATCGAATAAGAATTATATGTTTCTTAATAATTAATTTAATATAGGAAATCTGATTTTCTAACAAATTGAATCATAATTTCAAGACCTCTTTGCATGCACCTTTTCATGAGAAATATAACTAAATCATATCATTTCATACCCATTTTATAACCTGCTAGTATTGAAGAAGCTCCACCCACTATGCTGTAGTCAACAAAAGTCTTTGATAGATGGGGAAATAAATTATTTAGGAGGTATGTATATATTATCGATAGGAAAGGAAGCAGTTATTTCTAGCTAAAAGCTAAGAAATACCTGCTCTGCTACTGACAGAATCTTCATGAATAATTAGAGGATAGCAAACTGGAAGCTGCTTTGCACTGGTTCTTTTCATGTCCATGGGACAATTTAAGTAGATTGATCGACTTGAAAATTCATTATTGTCAATGTCAACTGATGTCTGTGGGTATTTGCCAGCAGAAGGTGGTTTGAAGTGCTGAACCCAGGGGTTTGCCAAAAGCTGGCGAGATTCAATCTCAACAACAGCTCTGTCCTTTGCCCGATCAAAGTTAAAATCTTCCCAGCAGCCTTCACGCAGAACCTTAAACTGAACCAAATAATTTCTTAGGCTGAGATGTTCCACAGGTTTCACAAAATTACACATGACCAATCTGTAAGTTAATATAAAATACCTGACCAGACTGTTTATTGGGATTTAATTGTGATGAATTTGTCTTCTTTTGTGTTCTTGACAACCAACCCATAAAATTACTTGAAAGGTGTTCTCTACCATATAACTGATCGACAAATGTTGCTTCTATGGAACTAAGATACAATTTGTGCTTCTCATCTGTCCATTCACTGGACAGAGAATCAACAACACCCTAGCAAAAGGTAAGGGTAGCTGTCAGGAAACTAAAATAAAATGCATGAATTAAAATGAAAATAAAACCAGAAATGAGATAGAACATGCAAGGCAATGCAGGTAGGAGAAGAGAACAGACAAAAACGGTACAAATTTCATTCAAGAACATATACTTATTGTGAAACTCTCTGTTCTTGGTTATCCAAGTCACCCCAGATTCTTAAACAATGGTGCAATATTTGTTTCTTGACCTTCTGTCATTTACCAAACTGGTCTATCTTGCATTTGTGCAAGCCTCAACTACTCTTTCTTCGCACTTCTTAAAAAATAGACTTTGCCATGAAGTTCCTTTGAGGTACCTCAAATTTGAGATTTAGCTTCCATGTATTCTTTATAAGGAGAATGCATGTATTGGCCTATACTACATTACTACTAACTATGTAATAGCAAGTCTAGTGTGGAAAGATAGAAGAGTTTCCAATTGGTTTTTATTATTGACCTTTACAAATAGGTGTATTTTTCATCAATTGTCCAAACTTCAAATTGGGATATATGGGAGTATGCACAGGTTTACACCTAAAATCCTAATCTGTTTTAGAAGATTTAGAACATAATTCCTCTCAGAACCTGAAAGACAGCTTTTGTTTTTTGCTACTTTCACATCAAGAAAATATCTCAAAGCTCTTAGATTTTTTTATCTCAAATTTTAAATCAAGTGTTTGTTTAATCCTTCTCTATTTAATTTCATTATCAGCATAGGCTATAAAGATGGTAATGTTACGCCCTATATGTTACAGAATATGATATGACCGACTGGAGCTTGTTGGTACCAATGACGATGAGCCGCCTTTGGGAATTTTACCAAATCTGGCACGCGGAGTTTGTTTGAGCCCATAAAAAGATTTCATAAGTTCATAAGCTTTTCCATGCACTCTAGCCTCATCAAAACCCGATGGTAATTCCATATAAAATTCTTCCTCTAAACTACCAAGTATAAAAGCATTTTTTAAATTAAGTTGTTCAAACTGTCAATCCAACTTTTTCACCGAGGGGAGGACCCGAACAGTATTTATTTATTTAACTATTGGGGCAAACATTTCCTAATAGGCAATCCATAATTTTAAGAAAAACCTTCTGCCATTAACCAACTTTTGTCATGCTCAATGGTTCATAAGGTGCTCTTATTATTATTATTTTTTCTCCTTCATCAAGAATAAACATGTAGCTCAAGATATTGGAGTTGCAATTCTTCCCCTGCAACTAAACCTCTGTTGATGATTAGCCCAACGAAGTTGGATTTGGGTTCTGAAATGTTCGAAGAATATTTAGTCAAATATTAGGCCACTCAACATTAGAAGATTCAGGCAAGATAGATATATCCTTAAAATTTCCATCCTCATTAATTTTCTCCCACCTAAAGGAATTTTTTTTATGAAAAAAGGTTGATTTTTAAAAAAGAATAGAGCAATAGTTATAACATTTGTGTTTCACGTGAGTAACACTTTTACCTTGACTATTTATTCTAAAAAACAGTGCTGAACTTGGAAAAGTACATAAACTTGTTATTAGATCACGAATTATGTGCGAATTTTTAGCAGCATAAAAGCAATGTGGATGTTCTTCCACATGTCTTAGCACTAAGACTACACAGAGGAGGAGTGAGGATTATAAAAAAATGCAACTTCCATCGAACAGGTAAAAATGAGTATTTTTATACTTTGATTTTGAATGCTTTAACTGAGAAAAAAATGTGTATTTGCATCTGTAAGCCCCAAATGTTAAATAATGAAATGCAATTTGGGCTAAACTCCTGACTGATCTAACGCCATGGCTGAAAATTCTCTGTCTAACCCCTTTACCTTTCAATTTCACAGCTTAAACAGATTTTATAATCTTATAGCATGTCAATTTAATGAGATATTATACTTGACCAAGGTATATCAAAACATTTCAGTTTCACTCAACCGATGAGAAATGGGTTGACTGACACCTTTATCTAGATTGTTTTACTTACTAAAGAAAAATGCGACATCACTTCTCAAAACCTTTCTATAGGTGGAACGAGGATTTCTACTTTTTGCAATTCACATTCACAGGTCATAATAAAAATAATGAATGGCCAATTTTCTATATTATTTGCCTTTTATTTTGACGGTTGATTAAATATGTCCTTTATGATCTACAAAACTTAAGGATATATTGATGAGGACATCCGACCTTGGAGGGTCTACTATAGGCGTGGTCGTCGATCTACGACCACGATTGCACCGCTTTATTTTTTATTTTCATTGTCTTAGTTTATTTTGTGTTATGAGTTATTATTTCATTTTCCATTTATACCCTCATTTGAGGGCCTAGTCATATGTAAGCCCTAGGGCAAGTTGGTCTTTTATTTTCTTTCATTGTAATGAGACTGATTAAAGACCACCTCCTTCTTGGAGGCTAATGAATAATATTACATGAAAATTTTTGCTCGTGTGTTTTTGGGAGAGTTTGTGAGCTCTTGAAAATTGAAGTCTCTATGCGAGGTCATCGTAATACTCACTAACCGCAGGAAGCGTTCGGGTTCGTGGTCGATCTTCGCCTTCCCCTCCCTTGTTTCTATTCTCCCCTACAAACAGCCGGCCTACCGCTCCTTCCCTTCCCCAACCGCCGGCATCCCCTCCCACTCCCCCTCCTCGGCCAAACCAACACCACCCCCACAAGGCCGACCGGTCTACCCTCTCCCTCCTCCTTCAAACCGATAGCCACCACTCCCCTCCACCCCTAACCGCCGGCCCTACACCCCCTTCCCTACTACACAAGCCGCCGGCCTCAAAGGAAAAACCCTCCTTCTTCTATTGGCTCCACTAATTCCATCTTGCATTCAAAGTTCTTCCTATTTTAGCCTGCTTAATTTGTTAACAAATTTGAATTCAAAATTCAAATAGCTTTGAATTTGAATTTGTTTCATAATTAAGAATTCCTATTTTAGGAAAGTTAATTAAATTAGTTCTAATTAAATTTTTAATTGGATTTGATTTTAATTAACTCTTCCTAATTTAAGATCCCAATTAAAGCAAGCTTTAATTCCTTTCCCTAAGCCCGATCCCACATGCTCATGTCGCCGCCCCTTCCTTCTCCCCTCTCTCTCTCTCTCCCACATTAACTCTCCTTTTAGGGACATCAATATAGTTGATGGGGACATCAGAGCGTGGAAAGTCTATCAGAGACGTGACCGTCGATCTACGGCCACGATTGAGTCGATGTATTTCTGAGTTGTATTATTTATTTTCTTTATTATTATGTAATGTTGTATTTTCTTTATTAGTTTTTCCATTCTTATCCCTTACTTAAGGGAGGTCGTATGTAAGCCCAGGGGGCGTTGTCATCTTTTATTTTCTCGAGTCTTTATATGAGGTTATATATAGACCCATAGTTCTCTTTTCATGTTAATGATTGAATGATAAAATTTTCCACGTGTTTTGAGTTCTTCTAAGAAATTGAGAGAGATCGGAGTGAGATCCCTAGGAGAGGGAGAATTGTGTATCACCCATCAACCTAAAAGAGTCGGGTCCGTGGCCTTAATTTCTATCTCTTTCTCTTTTTCCGCCCACCACCACCACCGGCCCTATCTCCCCCTCCCCCACCCACGGTCCAAGCTCCATCAAAAACCTAGAAGCACTGGCCCTCCACCCTCACCGACCCCTCCTTCCCCTTTCACCCACCGTAATCCCACACAAATCCCCCACCACCTGCCGGCCCTATTCCCCTTGCTCTCCCTCCATAATTCAAATCCCTACCTTGAGCACCTTCCATAAATGATCCCCCTTAATTTGGAAAAGCTTAATTTCAAATTTCAATTTGATTTGAATTTGAATATTTCTTTCCTAACTTAGGAAATCTATTTTAGGAAAGTTTCTAAATTAAACCTATTTGAATTTCAAGTTAAGATTGGATTTAATTAAAACCTTTCCTAATTCCTAAACCTAAATTAAGAAACATTAATTCCCCTCCATTAAACCAATTAATTCCCCCACAGCCGCCGGCCCTATAGTAGGATTTGGGAAATTTATTTCCTAAATCCCCATCCTTACTCTTTGGAAATAATTCAACTCTTTCCCCTCTATCCCCTTTGGTCGACCCCTTCCCTAGCCCCATCTCCTTAATTTATTTCCAATTGGAGAGGTTCTTCATTGGAAATAAATCAATCCCCTCCGACCCTTCATGCACGCCCCCCCCCCCAACTCTCCTCTCTCTTCCTTTAATTATTCTCAATCAAGAGGATAATTAGGATGTGTTTCAATCATAATTCCCTCCACCACCTCTCCCAAAACCTGAACCAAATCTCTTACCCTTGCTCTCATCATTAGCCGGTCAGCTCCCAGCCCTTTCCCCTCTTAACTTCTCAAGATTATCTCCTCCCTCTCAAGAGTCTTCAAGGGGAGCATCGACGATCGTCTTCAACATCTCAACCTTCAAAGACCATGCATGGCCGATCCAGATCTTGCTTATAGTCTCGCCTACGACGAACAAAGGGTTTGTTAGCATCCTTCACTTTACCTTCTTCGACGTCAATCCGAACATCGACAACATCATCGAAGAGTACGTAGAGCGCATTCTGGACACCCTTGTCGAGGCCATAGAAGAACAATTTGGCACCATTTAGTGGAGGCTTGCAACCCAACCGTGATAAGGGTTTACCACTCTTCTTTCTCTCGTATTTTTATTGTCTAACTTGTTCTTGTGATATGATTGATTCATGAAGGTCTTATTCATCTATTTCTGCCAAGCCTAGTAATCATAGGACTTGAGTTTGATCTCTATGCTTCTAATCTCATTGTTAGCGTAAGGATTTTGTTTGAAGCTACTTGATTTGCATTTTATTGATATTCTACGTTATTTTGATAAATCTAGCATGTGGCAAGTGGCTTAGCCGAAGCATAGGCACCCCTTTCTCATTTTATTTTATCGTTTTAAATTGCTAATAACTTTAATCATACTTTCTCTTATCATGGAATCGTGCAAATTCTTATTGCA